AACGCGCTCATGCAGGGTAGCATTTGGTATCCTTAAACTTGATCACGATGCGATTGATGATGAATAAATCCACAAAAAGATGTATGATTTTCGAGCTAAACGGCACGGTCGGATTTAAAGGCCCCGCTACGCAGTTCAAAAACTTGTCGCGTTTCAATCAACCTACGCCTATTCACCTTGCTCCAAACGATTCATGCTTCAACCAACCACAGTGTCCCTTTGAGCCCAACACGCGCAAATATGACGCGATCAAATCATGTCTGATGGGGATACAGCACACAACGTTGTATCACATGATCTTACGGATCATTTCATCGGCTAGTCTGTAAGTGCGTTTATGAGAGTATGCATGTACAATAACCACAACACTCGGTTATTGAATGAACTGTCGTAATCCCAGACCTGGACGCCAAAGCAACTGGTGTTCTTCTGCTACCATTCACCCCGTTTATAGGTTGGTTGATTGTGGTAATCGGCCCACTTAACTAACCTTAAAAAATCTCACGGCTGTCTGTGCTGCAGTTAAGACATAGACCTGTACGCGCGTGCGCGGATAGGAGAGACACCGTGAGCATATGAGTTTATCCGCGTGAGTTGAGACCAAAGGACTCGTTAGGTCATAGTAACAATCTGGGATTTTTAACTTCTAGCGACAGGGGCAAAGGATGAATGGGGTTGCGTAGAAGGAAGCACGTAATTTGATGCGATCAGCTTGCAGTTTCATGAATGAATCTGGATTAATGGTCAAACCGTCCAGTGGGCTGGCATTTGTTGCCACAATATTGATTCCACCGATCCATTCCAGAATGCTTTTTTCATTGCTGAATATCATGAGAATTTCTGACTGCTCCTAATGCACACACCAACCATACTACTTCTTAATCTGAATAGTACTTCACTGAAGTAGTGCAACTGGAATTTCGACTTAGAAGCCCGAGGTATATTGATGGATTATGTTAGATATATGTACTATAGTGTATGAGTATATATCCATATAGTACAAGCCAATTCGCTAAGCCCGGTTTGTCTACCAGGTACTTCGTTAACACAAGGGAAGATGTCTTCTTCATTATATCTGGGTGAAAAGACCACCGTATGAACAGTGACACTGAAGCTTAAGTAGAAAACTAGATTCCTGTCAAGTTACTGGTGCAAATTGAGGCATGGGGTGTCCATTCATCAGACAAAATCCTCCGAACGTGCTGTAGCACGCAAAACCGTTTTTCGCATTGTTACATAACAAAACTATTCAGAGTTAAGGTAAAATGATTCGGNTGTCCTGTAATTGGTTAGTTGGAATGAGATTCTGTTGGTCTGGGAGTGAGCACGCAAAGCTCCTACCCCGTCGGCACTTACGGACGTACGGTATCTATGTGGTTCGCGCATTGTTTTGCGGTAAGCCATGGCGATAGAAGGCATGCGAGTCCTATTTTGCCACAACCGGAGTATAAAACCTCTGAAACTATAACCGGACTACAGTATTTGACCTTGTGAGACCGAGAGAAAA